TATATATATATATATATATATATATATATATATTAGGGTGACTTAAAAATGTAAAAAAAAAATTATTATTAGCTAAGGCGTCCTATGAATTTTGCTACATAATATGAGTTGACAGACAAAATTTTAAGTATGCTGGATGCTTGTAACAGCTACAAGTAAAAATTCATTTTTACAAAGAATTAGCATTTTTATTTTATAAACAAGTGTGTTTTACATGTTTGTTCAATAAAATAATATCTTTTACGTTGTATAAGATATTTGATATGATTGTTTCTGACATTATAAATAATACATGTATTATAATGTTAAAAATTAATTTATTTGACGAATTTCAGCAGATATCATTTTTTCTTTTCAAGCTTATGTAACAACTCCTCTGCCCCTTTATCCTTACTCTAAATCCTAGGACCCCACCACCATACAGTTACTACTGTCTGCCATTAAGTTCTTATTATATTATTACTCAATATGCTTAAAAGCACAGTTTATTAATTTTTATATTTAACTTTATAAATGTTTAAATCAATTCTTTGTTCAAACATTTTAATATTTCAGAAAAATGGGAAAAGCTAAAGCTAAAAAAAGAGCTGCATAGCCAATCAATTACAACCCAAGAAGACCTATCTATCTTCTTGAAACTTCACTGAGCTCTCTACCTAGCAGGCAATTGCCTACTAATGTTCATATTATTAGATATTTTCTGTATGTTGTTTCCCCCAGGGTTAAAAGATTCAGACCAATCAAGACTAATTTTGCTTGTGCATAAAAGACATCTTCTGGAGATATGAAGTGCAAAGAAACAGATGGACCTTGCAACACTGTGACTGGAGAATACTGTTTGCTCCGGAGTATTGTAAATATTTAGGCCTCTTGTGGTTTCTAGAACTATGTTCTTTTAGAAGTAAGCATACTTTTCTAGAAATTTGCAAGCAATATAAAGCTGTTTGTAATGAAAAAACACTTAAAATGAAACCAAATGCATCTCAAAAGCAGCAAGAAAAGTTCCTGATAATGACAGATAACCTGTTTGACATCAGTTCTCAACAGCTTGAGTACACCATGTGTCAGGATACTTCTATGCCAAGAGACAGATGATACAATGAAAGAGGACCTAGACTTTCTTCAAGATCAAAGACAAGACAGAAAAATGTTTATCAGTGCTCGCATTGATGAAGAGTTAGAGGCCAGGGTAATAAACATTTAATGAAACTAAAACTGATAAAGATTTGTGAAATGTTTAAACATTTTTATATACTAAATTTCAAAAGTTTTTATTTAAATCGAGAGAAGAATAGAATGATACACTAGGCACGGAGAGCTACAGAAGAAAGCTGAAACAGAGTCAATTAGAAGAGGTAGATACAAACTAATCCATTTTGAACGTAACAAATTATACTGTTTTAATATTTTAGCTGATTGTAATAATATAAAAATCTGCTCTAGATTGCTGTTAAATTTAAAGATAAAAATCTGTTTAGATTGTAAAATCTGTAATGAATATATGGAAACAATGAAGAATAAACCATTGGTGCTACACTTTGATGGAAAAATTGTAAAGCACATAGAAGAAGAATCGAGGAGTACTTATTGATAGACTAACAGTATCAGTTACAAGTTCTGAGTTTTTGTCAAACAATGATTTACTTCTTGGAGTTGTTCCTGTGGACAATGGAAAAGCTAATGATATGGCTATTGTAATCCAGAATCTGGTAGTATATTTCAAAATATCAGAGAATATCATTGCTGTGTGTACTGACACAACAGTTACAAACACAGGAAAAAAATCAGGAACAATTGTAACTTTAGTCAGAGTTTTGGGACAATTAGTTCTCTGGCTCTTGTGTCGGCACCATATTGAGGAGATCCATATAAAATGAGGCATCAAAGCTATATTTAAAGAGCAAGCTGTGGGACCATCTAAACAGATGTATAAAGATTTAAAACATGCTTGGATGAGTAGTTATTACCCTATTGTTAGTAAAGCATGAGCTAAGAAAAAATTCAAGAAGTTTTCCGAAAGTGAGCTGGTTGTTGGAAGTGATCTTCACAGTTTATATCTCAAGTCTAAGAAACTCATTGCTTATTCGCTTGAGTATAATGTTTTTCCTAGGAGTGATTATAATCACTTGGAAAAATATCTTGCATTCTATATGAATATCAATTCACCGAAGCTTGAAAAGTTTAGTTTGTACCAACAAGGTGCTAACCATAATGCCAGATTTATGTGTGACAGCATCTACTTGGGGCTTCTGGATATTACATCTCCTATTATTAACTTCCTGAGTGATAATCAGAAGACTTAAGGCTAGCTTTATTGTTGCCCTATACTTTGCTCCTTCATTTCTCAAATTCAGCAAAGCTGAACATGCAGTAGTAAATGACCTTGAGGCATACAAAGCTGCTAAAATCATCCAAAAGGATTGGGTTTTTGATGTTGGTAGTGCTTTATTAAAAACCCTTAAAAACCATACTTGGTATCTTTCCCTAAAATGTGTTACTATGGCGTTGGCTGATCCTGATCTTGAAAAGTCTACCAAAATGTCTGTCATAGGAAAGCTACTTACATTCTCTGTACCTAACAAGAAAGATTTAAGCTCAGAGGCTCCAGAGAGGGTATCCATCTCAGAATCTACTAAATTAGAAGACCTAATTACAGAGGAAAGTTGGCTTCTGTTTATTATTACCAACACTATTAGTGTTGTCAGGAAGTGATATCAGACTGAGGGAGACTTGGAGGAACTTGCATCTTATAAAGACTTTTGTAGCTTTGTATGTGGGTTAAGTATCACTAATGATTGTGCAAAAATAAACATTAGTCTTATCCAAGAATATGTTGATACATCCCACAATGAAGATCAACACCAGAATATATTGTTGGTTGTCCAAGAGCATAAAAAGCTTGTCTCAAAAAAAATGCTAGTCTCAACTCATGTTAAATAAATGATGTTAGAAAATAATTGTATTGATTTTTTTTAATCAGTTTATTATCTTAAATAAAGACAATTTTGAAAAACAGTTTCAAATTTAATTTTCTTCATAATCAAGTTTAAAATTTATCATTTTCACTAAAATTCATGTTTGGAATTAAAACTCAATTTTTACTTGTAGCTGTTCCCAACACATTTAAAAGGAAATATTTTTGGGACTCTTTATATTGCGTATAATGAATAGGAAACCTTAGCATATTCAAAATCTAAAAAAAAAACTTTTTTTGGCATTTTTGAGTCACCCTAATTTATATATATATACATATATAATCTTGGTTAGGAAGCAGTGTGATCTCACGCTGTTATATGATCATCCAAAAAGTATTTTGTTTTAATGATTTGACTGTGGTTTAAAAAATTTTTAAAACACGCCTAATAAATCTTGAATTATACGCTATAAATAAATAACATCAAAACTTTTATCTTTACTTATGTTTTTATATTAGCAAAACAATTTTAAAGAAAGCAACAAATAACTGATGATAATTTTTGTTTAATGTTTTAATGAAAGATGAATATAAATTTATAAATGATGACTTTTTTAAACAAACAATAGTCTCCTTAATAAACTTTGTTAAGAATAATTAACGTTATACACTCAAAAAGATTTTGTTGAAGAAAAAAAATGTTTCTGAAAGCCTTTCAATTGAATAACTTTGATCTTTGCTAATGTTTTTATATTATTAAAGCACTTTTAAATAAAAACAAATCACTGCTGATATTATTTTTTCATTAAATAAATCTTTCCATTGAAATGATAAAGATTTGATTTTTTTTTTTTTTTTATATTAATACTAAAATTTTTTATTAATCTTATTTTTGTTTACTTCATTTACTTAACAAAGTATTTTAAAGATGTAAAAAAGATGTTTAAAAAAATTATTTTAAAGATGTAAATACTTTTCCTTTATAATGTATTAGTTCTACGAATATATTTATGAATATAAACAAAGCATATTATGGTTTAAAACCAAGTTAATCTTTTTTTTTTAAGTTCGTAGTTATATACTAGCATGTATTTATATAATTTAAGTAAAAATTCACTATAAATTGTGTATTTATTAAACAAACAATAGAAGTTGTAGCTTTATTTTAAAAAATTTCCCATATTATTATAAAAACATTACTAAAGTTGAAAGCTTCAAAGTTTGTTATTCCAAACATAATTAAAAACTTGATTTAATGAGTTTTAACGTTTTAGTATTTTGAGTTTTATTTTAGTCGAGTTATATTTTTAGATTTTGTAATTTAGTTTTAGTTAAGTTTTTTTTATTTTCTCTTTTGTTAATTTTTCTTTTCTTGTTTTAAATAAAGATTTTTTTAAAATTTTCTTTAGTTATATCTAGTTAAGTTTTTTCAGCAAATTTTTGAAATGTTTAAATTTCAAAAACAGCCGTGTTTATATCATTAAAATAAAATATTAATTGCTTAGTCATAATGGCATACAATTGCACAACTTTCTGATCATGACTGTATATACATATATATATATATATATATATATATATATATATATATATATATATATATATATATATATATATATATATATATATGTATGTATGTATACATATATATATATATATATATATATATATATATATATATATATATATATATATATATATATATATATATATATATATATATATATATATATGTATATATATATATGTATATATATATGTATATATATATATATATATATATATATATATATATATATATATGTATATATATATATATATATATATATAGTTAGGTGAGCATGATGGCGTCATACTGAAATAGCCTGCTGCCGGGGGCTTCAGTACATACATTAATTGACAAATAGCCTGACTCACAGTGGAGTGCTATTAATACTGAAATAGGTAGCTGTATAGCTTCAATACACACATGGACTGACTTTTGATTGTGCAAGGAATTGCTGCTACATCAATTAAGGGTTTAAAAATAAAGTTTTTTGTTTTATTATTGATTCTTGACAAATCATTTTTTACAAACATTTTTTAGAAAATGAAGGCGAGCTTGGATTTCAAGAAGGTGATGTAATTGAGTTGACTAGTCGAATTGATGAAAACTGGTTAGAAGGCCGTTTGAAAGGACAAATAGGATTTTTTCCACAAAATTATGTTGAAATTATAGTTCCATTATAAAAGTTAACATTTTGCACATTTTATTAAAATTCTCTTGTTTGTAAAAATGTTTAATTTTTTTTTTCTTTGAATGTCTGTTGAAACAAAAGAACTTTTAATTATATTTTTTATTTATTTATTTTTTTTGTTAAAAAAATTAAAAGTTTTAATAATTTTTTTCTATAATATTTTATTTGGGATATAATTTTAATTGCACATTTAAAATTTTTTAAATTATGTAGTGAATTGAAGTTTTGTGTTTTTCTTGCAATTTTTTATTTAGTTATGTTGTGAATTAAACTTTTGTGTTTTCTTGTTAAATTTTTTTTTAAATTTATGTAGTGAGTTTATCAAAGTTTTGTGTTTTTCTTGTTAACTTTTTTGGAAATGGTATGTCAAAACAATGAACTTATTTTTGTATTTTCTTTTTTTAAAGTTTTAAAAATTCGATGTTGATCTAAATTCTTTTGTTTCCAAACAGTTATTTTGGTTTGACTTTTTTTTTCCAAGCATTTTTCTATGAAAATCTTTTAAATTTCACATTTCAGTTTATACTTTCAATATTTGTAAATTGCAGGTAATAAAAAAAATTGCAGGTGAAAAAAAAAATATTGTGGAATATTAGTTAGATTAAAAATTGCATTTAAAGTTTCTGGCGCTTGATATGCCAAAAAAAAGTAGTTCCTGGGGAGTAAATACAAAATCAGTTGAGGCAAACGAGCGAAAAGCTGAAAAAAAGAAGAATGAGCTGGAAGCAAAGCAGCGTGCAACAGAAGATGCAAAATGGGTAGACAATGATAAATTAATTGAAAGAAAGCAGCTTAAAAAGGTTGTTTTTTTGTTTTGTTTTATTATTTATCAAGTTTATAACTTTTTAGTTAAAAAAAAAAATTATATTATTAATAGCTTTATTTGTTTGCAATGTTTATTTACTAGCTTGTTTTTCATTTATATCTATATTTCATAATTAGTAGTTAGATCTTGTAACCCTGTATTGGATTTTTTTTAGCAAGATACTAAACTAAAGATGTAGATACTTAACTAAAACTTATTACTAAATTTGATACATTAAATGATATTTATTTGAACACTTTAATGATTTTTTACTGTTCAAAGGGGGCTTGTGGTGCAAGAAAGAAATCTAAAACCTTTAACTTAGCTTTGTGGCTACGCCTCATGCACAGTCAAGGCAACAAATTAATTAGTACAATAAAAGTTCACAGTTCTTTATTTTATTTAGGTATGTCTATATATTATATAGACTTAATTTTTACTTATGAATATAAAAATGTTAATGGAAATTAAAATAATCCAAAGCACAATGTGAATTACTTTTACCCCCTCTGGATTGCTTAGAACGTTTTTTTTAATTAATAAGGTCTATTATTGTTGTTTTTTTTAGAATATAATTTATAATTAGTTTTGTTTTTCAGAATGTCATTTATTTTTATTTTGTAAATAGTATAATGTTATATTAATGCAATAATAATATAATTATAATATAAATTAATAATGGTTGTTTTATATGTAAAAGTTTATTTAAGTCTATTTTTGGTACAGGAGAATGAAGCTCAAAAGAAACAGGAAGCATTAGCAAAAAAACTTGAAGCAAAAAAATTGCTTGAAGAAGAAGAAGCTAAGTTGTCTTCAAAGTCAGCAAAAGTTGCCACTGGTAATATTGTTATTGTTGCCACTAACAAACTAAAGTTTTATTGTAAAAGTATAAAAAATAGTGTTTTATTGTACAAGCAATTTTAAAACAGTGTTTTATTATACACACAGTTCTAAAACAATGCTTAGTTGTACTATTTATTATGAAACAATGTTAAAATAACTTTGTTGTTATCACTTACTGATAACAGCAAAACGCAGGTAAAAAGAAAACAGTGTTTAAGACCTGACATTTTAAGATATTATATTTGAAATTGAGCTTAGATATTAAAAGAATTATGATTGAATATAGTTCCACAAAAGAAAGTCACACGTTCTGACATTGAAAAACAAAAAGAAAAAGAGAAAAAGCAAAACGAAGATATGTTAAAGGAGTTGGAATTACAAAAAAAGCGTATTGGAAAAAATCCTGAAATGGAACCAGAAAATCCAAATAGAAAAATGGCTCAAATGTTAGAAGAAGAAGGTTTCATTTTATTTCTATTGACATGTTAAATATAAATTTATATAGTTTATATAGTTATATAGTTTTGTTAAAATTTTATAAACCACAAAAAAATCTCAACTTTAATGACTATAGTTAAGTAAATCTATATTTTTGATAAGTATATTATATTTCTATATAATTAGTTTGTTTTCATTATATTTATATTTATTTTTTTATTTTCATTGTTCCTTTATTTTTATTTGTTATTTTCACTATCAATGTCTGTTTCACTGTTTTGTCTGATTTAACAATAGGCACAGCAGAATGTACATACATTGACTAAGGGTTTTGGTTTGGGAAAACATTCTTTTAAATAAAAGTCTTACTCAAGTTTTAATTTGATTGCAGTCTTGCATTTTAATGTTAAATTTAAAGTTATACTTTATGTTAAAACTTTCAAACTATCAGACAAAATTGTATATATTGTTTATATATAAATTTTATATATAAATATGAACATGCACGCACATACACACACAAACCTGATTCCACCTTATTCTATATTTTAAAAAAAACAAAACATTTTATATATTCTTTGTGACTAATTTTAAAATTTTTATAAATTTATTACTTAAGTTAAATGATGTTAAATATATCTAACTTAAATTAAATAATGCTAAACAATGTTTAATACAAATTAATTCAATGCATTACTCTCTCCAGTAAATATATTTTGTTATTTCCATAGATTCTATTATGTTTGTAAAATTTGTTGTATTTTAACAAACAGGAATGAATTAGTTTAAAAAGTTTTGTTTTGATTGTATAAAACATTTGAAATTATTTCTAAAAAGTATTTTTAATGTGAGTAATTTAATAATATTAAATGTTATTTATTTAAATAATATTTACAGTTTTTAATATTAAATAATTATAATAGTTTTATAAATAATAATAGTTATTAATATTATCACTAATAATAGTTATTTTATAGTAATTCTTTATATATATATTATTTATAAAATCTTTATAATACAAGTTATGCTAAAATGTTAGAAAGTATTTATTATATAAATTCTGGATTTCATACTTGTGAGCTTTGTTTTATGCAACGATTTGGATTTTAGATATAATTGAAGCTCGGAATATTGATGAAGCTGTTGCTGCGCTTAAGTTAGGCAATGATGGCTCTGTTGATAACCATCCAGAAAAAAGGTTAAAAGCAGCATACAATGAGTATGCAGAACGAGAAATGCCAAGAATCAAAGAAGAAAATCCTGGATTACGCTTGTCACAATGGAAACAGATATTATGGAAAGAATGGCAAAAATCTGAAGACAACCCCCTTAATCAAAGATAAGATAAAAAGTTAAATATATTGTGTAACTATGTGTAAAATATAGTGTAACTATGGAACTTTTGTTAACCCTAGCTTTTCAAAATAAATTAAAAATTTATAAATTCAAGCAAGTTACTCTATGATAAATACAATATATTATTTGATAATAGAAGTATATATACTAAGTTATATATTAGGAGAAAGAATGAAAATCTTAAATATATACCAGGTTTTTTTAATTAATAAAAAAAGTCAACCATGTTTTTGAAAGTAATTTGATAAAGTAAATAATTTTATTATATATTCGGATGTTTCTTAAAACAACATTTTTAAGAAAAATCTGCTTCAACACTCCCTTCTCCAATTTTTTCTCGACCACACACCACCGCCATCATTCCCTAAAGGTGTTATATATTAATATATAATATAGCACCAAGTTTCAGATTTTTTTTTATAAGTATAATTTTTAGGGTTAGCTTAAGACTCTTAAATATCAGTCCCTGTAAGTTCAAAAGTGAGCCTGTCTCAGAAGAAACTAAATTATATAAATATTTTATAAATAATAATTAAGTTTTACAAGATTTCACTGTACAGATTTTCAGAAGTTAGAAATATATTTTGCTTACTATAATTTATAAAATGATAACTTTAATCCAGGTATTTTTCAAGCTTATGCAGATGGTTTCAGTATATACATTGAGTATTTAATCTTTTTTATACACTGAGTATACTAAAAAGATTGATAAAAAAAAAAAAGAATGATAATGTAAAAAGAAAATATTATTTTTTATATTTTTAATTTAATAAATTCCCTTTATATGTAGGTTGTATATGTAATCCTGAGTCAATACTGTACAGTCTTATATGTGTACACATATGTAGAGAAGGTCCCACAGAGGTTTGAAAGTTTAAAATGAATAAAAAAAATCTGTTTTCAATTAAGTTAAATATCAAAAATGATTTATATTTATAAAAAAAACTTATATAAATGAATAAAAATGAAAAAAATAAAAGTTCATATAAATGAATAAAAAATATATATGTTAATATAAATGAATAAAAATAAAATAAAATTATATTTAAATCATTTTTATATATAAAATGTTCTGAAAAATTTGAAGAGAAAATTAAAAGTAAACAAACCATAAACTAAAATAAGAGAAACAAACTTAATGTATGATAAAATAAATACAGATAAACCAGAAAAAAATTAAAGCGTAAAACTAATATATTTTTAAATTTAGAAACTTCTCAAATAATAATTCAAACTTAATTTATTATAATCTTAATTTAATAATATAATCAATTATTAGTTTAAAGCTAATAATTTTTCCTATATTGTCACGTTGGTGTAGTTCTTAGGTGATTAATTGTGTCATTTATAAGGTGCAACTTATATCAGCATTGGATTAGGGTTCAAATCCTACTAACGGATAAATTTTTATGTGTGTTTTCATTTGCTTTGTACACATAAGAAAATATCAGTTTCAAATTTTTAAGGCGTTCGATTGTTTGTGTAAATTGATATTGATATAGGTAAATAAATGTAAATTCTTCTATTTTTTAATATTGTTTCCAGAGTTTTATTAAAATAATATATCAAGAAATGCGGATTTAGTTGTGTATAAAATGTCATAGATGGTCTTTTACTGAAATAACCATCTTGGGGATTCTGGTTTCACTTTTCATCTGGGGGATGGCATATACAATCTAATGAGGGTTCAGGCATGTACAATCTAGATATTAAAGGGCATGTACAAACTAGATATTTTATGGTATACATTTTTTTTTATTATGATTTAAAGTTTTTATAAAAAAAAAATCGTTTTGGTTTTTAAAACAATATTTAAAAAGAAAGACTGCTTCCATCTGCTTCAGGTGTTGTGTAAGTTTTTGTGTAGAAAAAATATTATTTTTTAAAATTTTTTTATATTTTTGCTTCTATTGAGATACAATATGACATTTTTTTTTAATATTAGAGACTTATCTCAAATGTTTAAGGGTCTTGAGCTACCACTGATAATAGTTTTTACCAGATAATTTTTGAAATCCGGTTTCATTTTATTGCACAAAACAAACTTTTGGGTGAGAGCAAACATTTTTTTCAAATGTTGTTTCGAAAAACATCCTACTGTTTTATGGAACTTAAAACCCATTAAGGTTGGTGGGGAACCATCTCTAGATTTCTTGTTCAAAAAGCAAGAACTGCACCTGTAATTTTTTCTAATATTTTTTTTTTTTTTAAGAAAATAATTTTTGAAATATCTATTCTTATTTCTCTTTTTTTTTTTTGAGTTTGTAAAAGTTTAGTCTAAAAGTTAAATGACACAACGTTGCAGTGGTTTTGTTTGCTTGCATATTGGCGCTGGTTATCATAGCATAAATAAAGAAAATCTTTACATTAATCTTTGTAAAAAAGCATGTATGCTTGGAAATAAACTGTTAAAAGAAGGAAATACCTGTATTGATATTGTTGAGAAAGTGTGTTGTTTTCTCGAAGACAGTGATCTTACAAATGCTGGTTTTGGTTCGAACATTTGCCAAGATGGAAGTATAGAATGTGAAGCCAGTATTATGGAAAGTAAATCAAAAAGGTTTTCAGCTGTTGTATGTGTTAAAGATTTAAAGAATCCGATAATGCTAGCAAAAAGATTGTTATGTAATCAGTCTGATGAGCACAAATTAGGACTTAGTCCACCGATGATTTGGGCTGGAAAGGGAACCAAGTTAAAAGCAGTAGAGTTGGGTATGAAGTTGATTAAAAACAAAAGTTTAAGATCTATGAAAGCCTGGGAAGATTTTTTAAGTTATCAAAAAAATGCACAAAGATTGTTGGGTTCAAGAGATACAGAAGACTTGCACTCTGAAGACTCTGTAACTGAAAATGGTTTGGAAAAATTATACACATCAAAAAAAAAAGAGGATATAAAAGTAGGTAATCAAAAAGATCTTCAAGAGAAAGAAAGTGAAAGGTTAGATACTGTAGGTGTTTTATGCATTGATGTTTATGGTGAAATGGCATCAGCTGTTTCAAGTGGTGGTATAGCTTTTAAACCACCAGGTAGACTTGGTCACACAGGACAATATGGTGCAAGTTGTTGGGCATTTCAATATTCTCCTTGTTTAAAAGTTGCGAGTTGTACATCAGGCTGTGGTGAGTTACTTACACAAACTAATTTGGCAAAGAGCGCTGCAGATTACTCTGCAAATA